TCGCCTCCTCGTCCTCGTCCTCCGCGTCCTCGTCCTCCTCCTCCGCCGGCGGCGGCTGCGGCTGCTCCTCCCCGCCGCGGACCATGTTCGCCAAAGGCAAAGGCTCGGCGGTGCCGTCGGACGGGCAGGCTCGGGAGAAGTAAGCGCCCGCGGCCCCTCCGCCGCTGCGGGGCTGGGCCCCGGGGGCTGGGCGAGGAGGGGGGGGCGTCCTTTTGTGTGTCCGCGCTCCTGGCTTTGTCCGGGCCCGGCCCGCAGCACCCCCGGGGGGGGCACACGGGGCGGCGGGGGGCTGCCCTGCCAGGGCCGGGGCCGCTCAACTCCCAGCAACTTTCCCGGGGGGTGGCGGTGCCCCCTCTCCGAGGGGTCCCGACGCCCGCCCCGCCGCAGCGGCGCCTGCCCCGTGTCTCTGCGCTCTTGCAGGTTGGCTTTGTACGTCTACGAGTACTTGCTGCACGTCGGAGCCCAGAAATCTGCACAGACCTTCTTGTCGGAGGTGAGTGGGGCGGGCGGCGGGCCCCCCTCCCCGGGCCTGATGGCCTTTGTTTTCCCAAGCAGGCACGGTGGCCTCCATTTTGAATTTTTATCACCTTTTGCCATTTATTGCGGTTGGCCTCGGAGCCCCCAGGCGGTTCGGGGGGCTCCGCGGGGCCGCCTGACCCGTTTGCCCGCCTTCTCCTCCGCAGATCCGATGGGAAAAAAACATCACGCTAGGGGAGCCTCCCGGGTTTCTACATTCCTGGTGGTGGTAAGTGGCCTTCCCTGTCCGTTTCACCTTCCGAGAATACCGGGGGGCGGTGGGGGGGCGCAGAAATGGGGCGAGGCGGGAGGGAAAAGATCGTCCTGGGTAAAAGTTTTGATCCTTGCCTCCTCTGGTAAGGAAGAGACGTTCTGCATGTGCTGCATGCGTGCACGACCGGTGGGTTTGCCGTTGTCGGGAATTTATTTTATTTTATTTTTTTGCACGAGTGGAAATTGTTCGTTTGGCCCCCGGGAAGATGCGAGGGGGGGGGAAACCCTGCGTCTTCCACACGGGCCTGGCGGTATCGCTCTTACTCAGGTGGAACGGGCGAGGTATGGGAGGAGGAGCTGTTTGTTCCTCCCCACCAGCTGAAGCAGAGGCATCAGGGAGCTCTCACTTCCTCAGCGGTGATTCGGGATGACTTGGCCCCTCGGGGTTACTGGGGGTGAGGGGGGGGAGATGTCATTTCCCATCCAGTGCTAGCTGGTGGGGGTGGTTTTCGTGCCAACTCAGGAGCGGTCCTTTTTTTGTTGTAGCTCCTCTGCAAAAAAATAAATATATAAATAAATAAATAAAATAAATAAAAAGTGGGTGCAGGTTGGAGGGTCCCCTCATTTCCTGCCACCCTGGAGGATCTGCCTTGAACAAAGCAAAGTTTCTCTGATTCTGCACCCGAAGGTGCTGGGAGTAGATTTCCAATCTTCTAGCTGAAGTTTGCACCAGGCTGGCGAGCTGGCCGTTTGCCGGCGAGCGCGCTGTGGCTTTTTAAGAAGTCAATAGTGCCTGGGTCGAGATGGTTTTGAGTCAGGCTGTTGAAGCGGAGGGAAACCAAAGTGTACACGCCTACCCGTTTGCCAGTGCAGGCACCTCAGGTCCGTGCGCAGCTGAGACTGTGAGCTCTCTTGCAGCCGGTTGCTAGCAGCATGCGAACTGAGAAAACCAGTTCCTAATTGCATTTGTCAACTTCATGCAGGATGCTCGCAATGCGCTCGGGCAGCTTACGGTGCTGGCTGGTCTCTCTGCTTACGGTGCTGGCTGGTCTCTCTCTCCAGATCGGATCGGTGGTGGGGAGGGGGCAGGGGGGAGCTTAGGCCGCTCGCAGAGGCAGCCTGACTTCCTGTCGAAGCCTGCAGTTTGGGTAATGAAGTTCAGAAGTAGTAGCAGGAGTTTGGGGAACATGATTGAGGCTTGTTTTCTTCTGCATTTAGAGTAGGAGAAGCAAACCGGCCAGCCTTTTACCATGCTATTGGATAGGATCCGCGGTCCATTTCAGAGCCTGCAAAACTGAACTCTGCCTGCTGCCATATGTATACTGAAGTGCACTGGATTATCATCCAGCCTTCTTCAGGCAAGGTCTGTGCTGCTAACGTCTGCTGCTAGCTTGGCCAGGCTGTTCGGAGGTGTGAAGTGTGTGTAGACACGGCGCTACTGGTACCACTGCGCTTTGACTGGCACAGCCTGTTTTGCTGTCCCACGTAAGGCGCGTTTGGCTGGTGCGGCTGCGCTCCGCACCGGGAGTGTTTTGTTGGTGCAAAATCCAGCGTTGCTCAGCTGGGGAAGTGCATTCAGTGTGGACCTGGTGCTGGTCTGTCACCTGGCAGCGTGGCACGCTGCCATGCAACTAGTGCTGGGCAGAACAATGAGTCCACAGGAAACAGTGAGTCAGCACCTTCATGCTGTGGTGGCTAATGCTCTGCCTTGGAGGGAGCAGTCCGAGGGGGCGTTTTCTGAGAGATTTAGGCGACGGCTGGAAGTCTTGCACGGATGGGCGCACGCGTAGTTCACACAAGAAGAGCTTGTGGTGACATTTCTGGAGCGGGCTTGCCCTTCCGGTAAGGGAGCTCTTCGGGTTGTTGCAGCGTGCTCGGGTCCAGCTGATGAGCAGTAGACGTTGAAACGCCCCATGGAAGTCTTGCAAAGGGATCTCCCAAACTTTGAATACTGAGAGGAGTAGAGATGGGTGAGCGTGGTGTGCTCTTGGAGCCTAGAGCTGAAATAGCTGCCTGCTGGCCAGCTTTTTTTCTTGGCTGATTTAGACAGTTTGGGAGTTGAGGGAAAGACATCGGAGGGTGACAATGCTGATAAGCCCTTCAGCTGAAGTTTTAGAAGTCCCTGAGTTACTTCGTTCCGTCCAGCAGATTGTCAGCTCCCTGTAATTGTCACCTACGTGTTTAAAAGGTCCCTTCAGCTCTTAAAATTACCTGGCTCGAGATTTCTTTGTTGGAGTTGTTACTAGAAGGTTTAAAGGGTGATAAAATGGGATACGTGGTCTTGACGGACCTTAAATTCACTCCTTAACCACACGCCAAATGAGGTGGAAAGCCGCTCACCTTGAGCGAGCTGTCGGCTAAGTTTGTACTATGGTATTGTACATGTGCTGTTACTTATGCAAGTCATAATTAGTAACTGGATCCTGTTTTGTTGTTTTTTCTTTTCCCTGCCATGCAGCGTATTTTGGGACCTTTACTGTGCAGCTCCTGAAAGGCGAGATACTTGTGAACATTCAAGTGAAGCAAAAGCCTTTCATGATTATGTGAGTAACAATTTTTAATCCTTGTGCTAATTGCAGGGTTGGAGAGATCAAACTTCTTCAGCGTTGAAAGCAAGCGTGTAGCCAACTGGCGACAGCTTTTCTTTTTTTTTTTTAACCAGCAGTGTTCTGACTGGGTTGAAGAGTATTTCATAATGTTGCAATTATGTAAATGACTTCAGATACTTATCTTAAGTACTTAAGGGCATATTCAGACCCTTGGTGGAATTAAGTCGTTTTGCCGAGCAGTGGACGACGGAAGCCCTGCAGTAGCTGTGCTGTGGGGAGCAGTGATGATATTTTCCACACTGAGGACAGACCTCATTTATGAACTTTGTCGCACAAGTGAGTGTGCTCAGTGTCTGAACGCGAACAGGGGAAATTCTTCAAAATGTTGGGTCTCCAGCCCAGGAAAAATCTAAGTGTTCATTGGAGACAGCGTGCACTTAGATGCTTGCTCTGGCTAGCCAGTATTCATGTCTCAAAAATATCAATATAAAGGTACTTCATTACATTAAGACTGCATTGCAGTCTCTTTCTCTCTCTCTCTTTCCTTTTTAAAAAAACAAAAAAACCCTTTTTGGTTGAAGGTCCATTTCTTAATGGCTGTGAAAGAGCTGGAAAAAGATGGCTTAGAAATGAAGTGGACGTTGCTGTGTCTGAGCCTGACGTTGGTGGCTGATTGGATGGGCTCAATTTTGGAGGATTGGATTGGCTGTGGTACTCTTCCAGCGTGGCTGGGTGGCTGTGGCGTACCTGCAAAGGAAGGTACATGAGCCCCAGGTCAATAGCCGAGGCTCTCTGCAGTTGGTTTTTGCTTGCAGGACAAAGGAGACCACATTCAAAGCGACCATGTGACGAGAAGCCTTGGAGATGAGGCATGAGGCTTTGCAGTAACCTGAACCTGTCAGTGGGGACATCTCCCCAAGCCAGGCTGGCTGTTGTGTAGGCTTGCAAGTAAATAGATGCATTTTACAACTTGCTCAGCTCTGCTGTGACCCATGGACAGTGGGTTGTCGGCCCGGGCAGCGATTCCGAGCGTGGGGGGGACTTTAAGTGAATCGATATGAAGAGATTTGGTTATTTTTGCTCTTGTCCCACTGGTGCACCCTCTTGCCTGTAGCAGCCAGATAACCTTGTTGTTGCTTTGGTTTTTATTAGGCATCATGTGGCCCTTACAGCAGGGTTTACTAATGAGCATCCCCATTTATCAGGCCACTTTTAACTGTCTGTGCTCTGAATTCTGCCAGGACAGCAAAGGGTGCAACCGCAGAAGAAAGCGTGCGGGCTGCTCCTTTCCGAGTGAACGCACTCAATTAAGGCTGTAACGTTCCCATACACTTCAGCATGAGTGATTAGGACAGTGGCAGAGGGGGGTTGCCAGGGGATATTGGTGCAGGCTGGGGGAATATTGTCAAACGCATTAGCAGTAGTATGGGCAGCCTTCTTCCGATGAATGGCGCTGCTGGTCAAGAACAGCATAGAGCTGTTTCTCCTTGCTCTTGCGATTTTCCAGCCAGCTTGGGTGCATACCTGTTGCCCAGAGCCCATGCGAGCACTCGTCTTTGGTGCGTGGGTGAGCTCCAGCCTCGCTACAGACCTTCACGCCACTCCTTGCCCATCTCGCAGTGGGGCATTTGTTGCAGGAATGACAAAATCCCAGAGTGTTTGTGGGTTATAAATAGTGAAGTGCAGCTTGCAAATATTTGCTGTAGATGTGCCAAAGCTGGGCGAGGCCATGTCTTCAAAATGGATTGGCAAAGAGGTGTTCTCATAGATGCTCTACCTTAATGTGACCCAGTTGAGAGCTGCTGAAGCAGTACAAGGGGGAGATGGTTAGAGACTCTTCTGGTGGCTTGGGTCTGTCTTTCCAGTGTGGTTCTTTTTTCCCCTAAAGGTCACTTGTGGTGGAGTTTAGTCTTGAGGCTGCCTGACAAGAAGGGGGTAGCTTAGTATGCCCCAGGTGCCGTTGAATCTTGGTTCTGTTTGTGTCATAATGTCATTTATGTATTACCTTTTTAAAGGGTAAATTCGACTTTGGTCCCCTTAGCCAAGGGTTACAAGAAAACTGGTGCAAAGCTGGTTGCCAAACGATCTCCCATGTTAGGGACGTTTTTTTCCGCGCTTAAAACCCTGGTGGACACAGCCAGTCTGGAAGCACCTCTTAGTCATTCTGGATTTCCAAAGTACTTTAAAACTGCCCAACTTGCAACAGCAAACCCAAAATGTCTGTCTTGTTTGGGTTGTGGTTTTTTTTGTTGTTGTTGTTGTTGTTGTTGTTGTTGTTGTTGGAGGGGGTTAGATCTTGGATGCAAAGAGAGAAGGTGTGTGGGATAGCACCAGACGCCAAGATACAGTAATGCTACATTAGTAGCAGCCTTATAATAATGTCTGAGGATTTAGTGTATTTAGAGAAATTAATCTTTTTTAGCTTGGTAATAATTCTAACAATAGGCCTGAGTGCATTAGATGATTCGCATAAACTTCTTTAATACATGTTGCTTTAAGCTTATAGTAAATAGACACAATCCTGATTTGTGTTTTTTTTTTTTTAATTCTCAGTGTAATACAGTTTCATAACAGCCCTTTTTAGTTTACCTTTTTAGCTTTATTATAAAGACTCATAAGGAGATTTTCCATCTTTGCCCTCCCTCCTTCATCTCTTTGCTTTCACTGTTTTATTGCAATTGTCCTGTTTTGGGCTTTAAATGGTTGATTATATTTCTTCTCCGTAATGCTGCATATTGTAGATGCTTATGGATTTCTTTCCTCCTCCTCCCCCAAAGAATCAGTGTTTTCGCAGCAGGAGTAGATAGTGTACTTTCCGGGGTGCGTAATCTACCTATATAAAGCTTAAATATTGACCAAAGAAAGGAACTGTATGATAAACTTTTTTGTGTGAATAGGAGCTTGTTTCTTTGAGGGCCATGTCCACGGCCCATGGTTCATGTGTGCATGCGTGTGTTTCAAATCCAAACACACACAGCACAGATCTGGGGCTATGATGCCAGATTCTTCTTAAATCACTGCACCAGACCCATCTACTGTTGACACACCTCTTTGTCACTGAATTTCTGCTCTAGGGGGATGTTGGTGCGTATCTTTGCTTGTGTAACACATGCAAGAACAAGGAGTCAGGGGCTGTTGTTTGCATGTGCGAGTCGGGGGGTGAGGGAGGCGCAGGTAATTCATCCTATTGTGATTCCTAAAGTACATCAGTCTTTAAAATACTTACTCGGTGTGTCCCGAGTTTTTAAGTTACTGTGTTTAAGCAGAGCACCTGCTGCTGGAGTTGAACAAGGTAGTGAAAATGCATGTTAAAGGATCTGCAGATCTTGCCATTCTCGGATCCAGGGTCTGATGGTTGCTCAGTAGATCCAGCTGGAATTTGATCCTTTGCCTTCTGCCTTTCGGGCTGGAAGGTGCTGGGACTGCTCCTGCTGCACACTTTACATGGCAGCTGCTCTGCGCTTCCAGTGAATCATGTGAACTCCCAAACAGTGCTTGGCTGAGAGCAGGGACGGCACACCACGAGGTGTAAATAATGTGGACTCCAGGACAAACGTACTGGGCTGGGAAAGCATGTTTGCTACTTCTGTTTATTTGCTATGCAGACTGAGGAGGAGGAAAAAAAAATGAGTAGGGCCTATGCAAATCACAAACCGAGTGGACAGATGACTGATTTTGTATGTTGGATGTGGTAAAAAAAATAACCTATTCTAGGGCTTGGCGCAGGCTTGTAGAACATCATATTTAAATTTCATCCATTACGGAGTACGACTTTTGGAGGTGGCCTATGTTTGCCATGCACAACACCCACAGACTCTGTATTTACTACACCACTATAAATATACAATGGTGGGATGCTGTAAACCTTCCACCTTGTGCAACAGAGCGCTGTAAGAGTGCCAGGCCTGGATGTGCCTGAAGACTTGCCCTGACACCATGTTGGCAAGTGTCTTTTGCTTGCCTTCTCCCATTATTAATGGCAGAGGTGTGGTCACTTGGAGGCAGGAGGAGGTCCTGCTCTCTACATCGCCTGGCTTAGGAAGCTCGTGCTTTAAAAGTAAGAGCCACGTGCTTCGTTAGCAGTGTTAACAGCGGGATTTGCATGCTGTGTCATTTCCATTTCATTTCCCAGTATAACTATATGAAAATTAATAGTAGCAGCAGGACAAATTACCAATTTCCCCATTCGGATTTTAATATTTAAAAAAAAAAAAAAAAAAAGTCGCACTTTCACTTGAGTGTTTCATGACTTTTTTTGATGGCTGCTTGATCTCATGCAAGCCCTTCCATCCTTGGGAAATGCAATGTGCTGCTCGGAGTCTGATCTCTTCGCTCCTTCGCCAAGCTGCCTTTTGCCCCGGTGTGGCTGTGTGCATAACACCTGTTAGCTGCCGAGCAGCAGCGAAAAAGGAGGACTCTTATTTTGTGCAAACGCCACATATTCCCAGTGTGCGTGAAACTCTGTTAACTCTGCTAACAAATTGCACTTACTTGTAGGTGTGTCAGCCATTCTACCACATGTGTAGAAACAGGTGATCCAAAAGTCAAAAGCATCAGCACACAAGTTGGTTGGAAGCCACATGCCTTGATTTCCAGTTGATCTGTTTGGAGTTTTTTGGTTGTTTTTTTTTTTAATTTTTCCCTTTTACTAACATGGTGCTGATCCTAAACTGTTGATTTGCTTTATTTCTGAATCTCCTACGCAGGGAGAATCCGATCAAAATTGGACATTTTTTAAATTTGTTTGTTGATTAAGTCTTTGCTTCAGTCATTTGGAATCATGGAAATACCAGAGGGGTGAGGAACCCTCCCAAATCGGTCTCCAGTTTCAGTATTTTTATGCGTCTTTCCAATAGAAAATGTTATACTCTCTCTGGAGGCTACTGCTGTTGGCACGGTTGTCTTTATCTTGCTTCTAGTCAAAGCCCCTCTGTAAGCACACTCATATTACAGTGTGGCTGTGTTGCCAGACGCTCTTGTTGCAGGTTTCATTG